TAGCCGGACCGCACAGCTGCTACTCAGCGCGCGATCCATTGTGTTTATATATCGATGGTTCAGCATTGAAAAAAGTCCAACAGGTCCAAGGTCAGCCCGGACGCCAGAGAATGTCTAGTGAGTGAGAGAAGCTGTGGAAGCTAGTCCTCAGTGGCCTAAACGTTAATAAGCTGTAGCTCTGTACTTGTCTGGCCGCTCGGTAGAAGAGCATTACAATAAGACCTGCATTTCCATTCATACAAAATGGCAATTGTGCAACAGTTGAAACCCAGTGGTTATGGAAAGCGCATATCTTTTTCAGATCAAGTAGTGATTGATTTTCTTACATGTAACAACATTTTCATTACGAACGACGAATCACACTTTCAACCACAACATACAGTCTTCCTCACTCTCTTTAGTTTCACACCACAAAGTCAGATTTTAGTTTTAATGCTGAACTAGTAGCTCTAAAGTTACCCACCCACAGCAAAATGGTGTTTTGAGTTGGGACTTTTCTTCTTTGACCCACATTGAAACTTGTACTGAACAACTACACAGAAATTACCACTTTTAAAAACACTTCTACTACAAATACATGTTGCTCAGCTATCCCACGGCTCCATGGCTACTAAAAATGTCCAGACGTTAGCTTTGTAACGCCCCTATTCCCACCACCCTACGCCACTCATTCGCTCGACAGGGCGGCAAAGAAAACCGTCAGATCATTTTGCCGCTCCCTGTAGTAATTCAGTTATACGTCGAAATTTGGATCTTCAATTTAGTCGTTAGAGTCAAAATCATACAGCGCCAGTACGATAAAAAAATCTATATGGACATTTTATGACAACTAGGGTCGTCTGATGTTAACAAAAATTACATTTATTGGGAGCGGGCGAGCGTTGTCGACTGAAATCGTAAAAAAGCAACAAGCATCTGCAACAATTTACTTGTATTGCAACATTTTACTCGTCAAGAAAAAACTCAAACTTGTTAATGTTCTTAATGGTACTTTTCATGTTAGGACTTTAACATATTATACAAATGAGAATTCCATGCCAAAACCACTATGAAATTAAACATAAGTCATAGTTTATGGTTTTATAGTTTTAGTGCAGCCAAGAAATGTAGGAAAAGGGGGGTTTAATTGCCAGGCCAACGTGGCCAACATATCAGAGTGGGAAGTGACATTTATTTATAGGGAAAATAACTATGTTCTAAACCTTATAATGATTAATCTATAAAAAGTAAACTTAAACATTGTTTTGTCTTGTATCTTATAAACGTATTAAAAGGTTTGTTAGTAAAAATATAGTAAGTTATAAAATATATTAAAGCTTTAAAAGTGTATACATTATCTCTGACTTACATCACGTATTTAAATATAACTTATTCCATTAATTAATGTTAGTTTTTTTTATTTGTGTTTTCATTCAAGCACCAAATAGAATGTGTATACTTTGCGTAATCTTGAAGCAGACAATGCAGTTTCTGTTAAACTACTTGGATTATCCATAGACTCTAAACTCACTTGGGAAATACATACCAATAATATCATTTCAAAATTGTCAAGAGTATGTTGTTTGATAAGAAAACTTAAAAATTGTGTTTCTAAACCAACACTTCTAATTGTTTACCACAGTTTATTTCACTCACACTTGGTGCATGGCAATATACTGTGGGGTAATAGCTCAGGAGCTCACCGGGTCTTTAAATGGCAAAAGAAGGCTCTCAGAATTATGTTTGAAATTCCAGATAGGGTTAGTTGCAAAGCATTTTTTGCTGAAAATAGAATCATGACACTCTCTAATATTTTCATTTTTAACAATTTAGTTTCCGTTAAAGAGAATCTAAATAAATTTGTTCCTTGCAACTCAATCCATGGGTATATCACCAGACAATCAAAAGATTTATATATTCCTCAAGCCAGGCTAACAAAATTTATCACAAGTTATAAATATTTGCAAATGAAACTATTTAATAAACTTCCAATATATTTTAGAAATCAGGAAAGTATTAATTTGTATAGGTCAAAATTATCAGATTGGCTTACAAGTCGTGCGTTTTATTCAGCTGAGGAGTTTTTGCAGAATGTAGATTTTTCAACTCTTAAATGTGAGGCCGAGCAGTCTTGATGATTCTTTGTTCTTGTTATGGCCTTTTCCCTGTTAATCTCAAAGTTTTTTGTATACTGTATACTGTATGAATTTAATCTAAAAGTGACTATTTTCAACCAATTTGCTCAATGTGGCGGGGCGGATGACGTCATCAGTTTTTCCTCACTTACTCAAAGGTTTTTAGAGCACAAATTATAAAACTTATATATTGTTGAAGCACAAAATGAGCACTAAATCGTGACACCATTTTCAACAAATTTGCTCAATGTGGCGGGACGGATGACGTCATCACCAGTGGCAGTTTTTCCTCATTTACTCGGTTGTTTTTAGAGCACAAATTATAAAAACTATATATTGTTGTAGCACAAAATGAGCACTAAACTTCTATGTATAATACATTGTTAAATCCTTTGGTGGCGGGCTGAACGTGAAGTTAGCCCCACCAACAGTTTTTATAATTTTTTGATGTGTTATTGTTGAGCACAAATTTTTTATATATACCTTTGAGAAGCACAAAATCAGCACTAAATTATGGATATGTTTTTATAATTTGTGCTCATTATGGTGGGGCCAACTTCACGGGGGTGTTGATATGTCCATCGAATCAAAGGGCTTTATTAGCAGAATACAATGTTGCAAATTTGAACTCATCGAACAACTGAGTCAAAAATGGTAGCCATTCAAAGATATCTTGAATCTGCCATTTTGAATCTTTGAACGGCTGCCAATTTTTACTCACTTGTTCTTTTGAGCTTGAATTTGCAGAATTGTAATCTACTAAAAAAGATCTTTAATTTGATGTGCATATCGACCTATGCTTACGTTTACGATTTTCTTCCGATTCCTAGCGGCTGAGGAGGTAGCATTGCAAATTCAATGAATCTTTGAACTGCTGTCATTTTTGCGTTTGTCCGTTTCAGTTCAAATTTGCGGCGTTATACTCTGCTACTAAAGGCCTTTAATTTGATGTACATATGAACCTATGCTTCTATTTAAAATTTCCTTCAGACTCTTTGCGAGACGGTCCCATGATATGACAGAAAACTAATAGTTCCTTCAAAAAGAAGATTTTTAGGTGTTGTGTTGATGTACCAAATCTTATTGATTTATCTGTTGTTGTTTAGAAATTATTAAGCCCATGTGGGACTTTATATACAGTCTGTATAGGGTCAAACGGTGTCTGGGGAGTCTAAATATATTTTCATTTCGGGTTTCATACCTGTGGTTAAAATATATTGTTTCTGGTAGCTCATTTTTAACTGAATGTATGTAATTTAATAATTCTAGAATATACAACCCCGTTAATGTCTGAATTTTTAAATTTTGAAAATGTTTCTTACAAGGACTACGTGGATGAGAGCTGTGATAATGCGAATAATATGTATTTGTAGCCTAAATATAGATTTTATACCAGTAGCTTGACCCAATAAAATTTTGCCATATCTTAATACAGACTCCACATAAGCATGATAAACGACTTTTAGTGTCTCAATAGAAACACAGTCCCTTAAATGTATGAATAAAGATGATATCGACCTAATTTTGGTATGCAAATAATTCAAATGTGAATCCCATTCAACGGCGTCATCTACATAAACCCCTAATAATTTATGAGCTTCAACTAAATTAAGAGATCAGTTTTTCATATTTGTCTATCTAGTAGAAAATTTAATAATATTGGTTTTTTCAACATTAGGTTTTAATACATTTTCTAAAAACCATTGCTCCATATCCTTTACCACACCTTGCAGAGAAGAAAACATTTCAGTTGTATTGTTATTTTTTATCAAAGCAGTAGTGTCATCGGCAAAAAGAATAAGTTAAGGGATTAATAGCATTAATTTAACTTTTAATTAACATTTAAAAAACAAAAGTCAATAATCAGAACTCTTGCAAATTGCCCCAAAAAAACATCATCTAGACAATTGTTTTGAAATTTTAAAATTTTAACTCTAACTTCAATATACGTTTTTGAAATTTAAAAAATGGTTCATGGCAATCCTGGTATGTTTCAAAATTATCTTAGTAATCACTCATATAATACCCGAAGACAAACGACATTTTTCAATACCCCACTCATAATTTAAAAAAATATGAAACAAGTCCTCTCTATATGGGGTTAAAAATTTACAATAAAATTCAAAACTCCTTAAAGCAATTAAACTTAGCAAAATTTACAGACAAAATCAAAACAGTTTTAGTAGAAAAAGCATATTACACTCTTGAGGAATTTTTCAACGACTCCTGGTAACAGACACCCAATCTCTCATCAACCTCTCCTAACATTTAAACAGTTCCACCATGCTGTAGCTTTGTAGGGGTAACTTACTGGCTAAATCCTAGGGTTTTTATATACCTATTTAGATTTCCTTATTTATTAGAAACCTTGACAATGTACCTGTCTGTGTATTACATTTGTAATAACTTTAACAGATGTTATGTGCAATAAAGAATTGTCATTTGTCATTTGTCATAGCTTTTTTAAGGTCATTAATTTAAGTAAGAAAAAAAGTTGGCCCAATACTGAGCCTTGGGAATACAATTTTCCATGGTGAATAATGTTTGTTGTTATCTTCTAAAATTAATGTTCTTTGTTTTCTTTCAGAAAGGTCAGATTGTATTAAATAAAAGCAACTTCCCCCAATCCCATAATCATTAAGTTTCAGCAACAGGAGTGAGTGATCCACACAGTCAAAAGCCTTATACAGGTCACAGAAAATTCCATAATCATAACACATTAGAATCATAACGTTTATTGAAGTAAATTTGACAATTTGTTAATGCATGAGTCGTAGACAACATGATAAATTTGGAATATCTATGACCTATGAGTGTAACTAAGAGTAAAATTAATATGAGTCAACTCATGATTTCTACAGTTTATTTACTTTCTATCTGTTTCAGGCTCCAGATTTTTATGTCGAAATGAAATGGGAGTTCACTAGTTGGTGTAAGTACCATAATAAAAAAAAGTATTTAATCATCTCTGATGGTAGGGTGAATATGCCTGTGAATGGCCCCTCCCCCCCAGTAAATGACCGTTTTGTATAAACATCATATATTAAGTTTTCTGTTTTGCCTAGTCAATCACAAACCGTCTTAAAATACGAGGGGCGTTTGTAAGGGCCGTTTTTGGGTAAGTTTAAGCTTTGCTGTGTGTTTGGACAATTTAAATTTTCTTAATTATTAAATCCCCGCTGCATAGTTAGTGATATGTTAAACTTAAGCTTGGACAGTCATTTACTGGTGCACTCTTCCTATTTTAAACTTGAAAACTATTAGCTCTACTTACAAATAATGTATTATAAAGTTCAAATTATTTAATTTTATCATTTTATCATTTTATCATGTCTTTGCATTATGTATTGGTTTTGCTTGGGACATTAAGCATCACAAGATCTAGAAAATGTTTAAAAGTTGTTAAAAGTTTTATTAAAAAATAATAAACAGTTTTAGGGAATTTCCCATATAGGGAATACTGTAAGCTATTACCGTAGGTCTCATGGTAAGACCTATATCCGGGACCGATTAACTTTTTTGTTTTGAGGTCCCCAAAGGCCAAAAACACCACCCGTTCGAATTCATATATATATATATATATTTATATATATACTAGCTGGCCCGACAGACATCGTCCTGTCCTAATGTGGTTTGATGTCAAATGCTCGTTCATTTTCAAGATGAGCTTGTTCGCATGGCTCAATCACGTCCAGGTTGAAGTTTGTTCGCTACGCTCACTCACATAAATTAAAAAAAATAATATTGCTGCACCCTGTTGGTAATCCTTGTAACTTTAATGCTATTGAACATTATAGAACAGAACCAACTTGTTTAATTGAAACAGCTGTTAAGATTCATTAATTCCTTTTAAATATGAAAAATCATAAGGTCAACATGGGAAACTCCAGAGCCACTGGGGCGGAGCCCGAAAGCCCGATCAGAATAAAAACTACTTAGTTTTCCTATTTAATGCCCAAAGAATCGGTGTACCGAATTTCAGCCTCCTAGGTAAATGGGAAGTGGGAGAATTAGTGATGAGTGAGTGAGTCAGTGAGTCAGTGAGTGCTTTGCCTTTTATAAGTATAGATATATGTGTCCGTTAGCGCGATAACTCGAGCAAAATTGATCCGATTTTGTTGAATTTTGGTACAAACATGTAAACCTACATTTATTTGAATGAGTCCGCGAATCAGCATAATCGGACCATGGAAACAGGGGTGTATGGGGGGTTTTATGCGGTAAAAATGGGTTTTTCTAATTTTTGACCCTAATAACAAACAAATTGTCAATTTCTTTCTAAAAAATTTTGTAGAGCTTAAAAAATAAATAATTTAGTATATTGAAGCGCTGTTGTATTCCTAACAGTCACGGAGAAAATTAAAAAAAAATTAATATAAAACTCCTATGTTATTCTTAGGAAATGAAAAATTTTGTAGTTTACTTGTTTATGGATATATGTTGATAAAATTTGGCAAATTTATTTATTTCATCCTATACTATTGACGTATAGTCAAAAACACTTTTTACCTTCCATGTAGCAGCAAACCTAAGCACTCATTAAATCTAATGTTATTAAAATTGGGAATAAATATGTTTTATTTAAGGAAATATTTTAGTAAAAATGAAATCAGACAAGTTGAAATTCGCTTAGTCTGCAGGTTTGCTGCGGCGGGGGTATTTTTTTGTGTAAATTTGATTTTTATGAACCTTTTAGTGAATTTCCCTATAGGGAAGAACCTACTACTGTAGGTGGCATTAAGACCTAGATCTGGGACTGATTTACTTTTTCATTTTGATGTCCCCAGAGGCCAAAAATCCTATTCGTTCAAATTCATATATGTGTGTGTGTCTGTTACCACTAGTAAGATTGGCTGATAGGAACAAGGTTTTTAACAAGGTTTTAAAAGTATTCAAAAATTGTTTTTTTTATTTTTTATTGTGTTCTTATAAAATGGAAATGCCCAATTTTCATTACAGCCATGGTGTAGAATTAAAATAGCAAATAATTTTATACCTTGAAGTAATGTTGTAGGACTAAGGTTACAGAGAAAATTCCAAAAACTGGTACCGTACCAGTACATTTAATATTCTCATGTTGGGCTATTTTCATGGAGTAAAAGAAAACTATTGAGGTTTGCTAGTCTAAAGGTACTGGTAGGCCTATATTTTTTTACCTATTTCATTCCCATTTCTTTTGAATCTGCTGGTGTCTAGACCAAAATCTAGCAGAGCTGCTGTCGCTGGCTGGCAGGCGTGGATGCTATTAGAGAGAACTATTCAGAGAGTCACTATCAGTATACTGTTGCTTTCAGCTGATCATATATACAAGTGAAATGTGTACTATTAAACATTCACAGCAACAACCTGGCTTTTAGATTCTGGTTTTATCACTAGCAGATTTAAACACATTGATTTTATTGGCTCAGTGAAAATGTTGGGTTAGATCTTTATAAGTTAGTATCTATGTTATAAACCTACAGTCTCTCGCACATGAGTGTTGCTATAGTTGTTGAGTGACAGTTGTGAATGCATAACCTACTGTAGTTATACTTGTACAGTACCACTGGTAGCACGCATGTGTCCGAGTGATACCTACAAGGTGTACAAGCAAGGATCCAAGGTCAGGATAGACACAACTCTCCTAGGCTTTGAACAGAACAATTGGCAAAGGGGCAACACCAGCTTCATATTCCACGGCCAAAGTACGTACAATCTGTCAACAGTCTAAGCTTTAATGCTATATGTTCGGAAGAGTTTAAAATCAATAATCCATTATATATATTAGGTGTCTGTCTGTCTTTTCATCTTGCAAAAGCCAATGAAATAATTAGCCAAATGTTACACATAGATAATCTACTTAACCAGGATTACTGAAGGCCTATTCCAGTTTTGATATAAATCTGACTCTTGCCCCACCCCCCAGACCTTTAAAGCTATGTCGTTAGGGTATTTGGATACTTACTTCCATATCGTTCTCCATGCCATCAAAAAATGTTGCTACAATGTTTATTTTGTTTCCATTTCTTTATTTACACTGCCTCACATCTATTTAAAAAAATGTTATTTTGTAAAACTGGCTATGCCTATAATTATATAACAAAATTAATTTTATAATAATTATTATTGTTGTTACTAGCTGTTTTTCAAAACAGCTGTAACAGGCTTGATTTTAAAATTATATTTCAAGCATCATTGCAAAGCACTGGTGAAGATGAAGATACTAAAAAATGTTAAAACACATTTGCATCAGAATAGTTGTCTATAGCCTTTGTCCCCTTAGAAATGTTGCACTACTGCATGCAATATGAAAGCCTTTTTAGACTCATTTAAGGTAACAATTCAGGGTGTCCTGTCCTGTATGTTAACAGCCAAACCTCAGGAGAGGTTCTATGGGTCAAAGTGAAAGTTTAATAAAAACTGAACAAATGCTTTGTTAACCAGATAGCTGCCATTTTGTATTGTTTCCCTAAACAATATTTATAATTTATCTTTGAACTTTTTCAAACGATCTTTATGAAACTTGAGCATTTTAATTAGAAGAGACCTATGTTTAAAAAGTTCAAACTTGGTCTAAGCTTGCCAGGGTGCATCGTTTTATCTTGCCTTGTTATACAAATAAAAATTTAAATATTTCAGCTATTTTTTAACCGACTTCCCCACTACCAACAAAAGGAAGAGGTTGTCAATTTGTTTGTGGCGATGTTTTTTTTTTATGGATGGTCACCAATTTCTCTGTGATTCTTTTACCGATCAGTGTGGTCCCACCACCAAAATAACCAGGAGAGTTTCTATTTGGTCCCATATATATATTATGTTTAAGTGTAATATTTGTTTCGGTGAAAAATACTGAAAACCACAAATATTCAACATTTATTTTGTTTATATTTGTGCAGGGAAGGCAATAAATAATAATAACATTCCTACAGCTGTTAGTTGAAACCATTTAAATGAAGCTACAGACAATTCTTCATGAAACAGTTGTTTCATATTGATTAATAAACTATTTCTTGCCATGGAGCCTAAATGAATTACATTGAAAAAATGCATTTTGTTTTGGTTATTATAAAAAAGATATTTTACCGTTTGACCTGATTTGTGTATACAGTAATTCTGTTTTAAGTATTGAATATTCTGACTTATAAAAACATATATGTTTTAGTGAATAGCTGAATGATATTGACAAATAAAGGTGTATTGTGAAAACCAAAGCATTCGTAAAAGAAGTCTGAATATAAATTAAATGCAATTATTCCTTACACGACCTAAGAAGTGTGAGAGTGCATAATCGTCAATTGTCTTAAAAGTGTTAAATATTTTAATTACTAAACATACATTTGCAGATGTGGAATGTTTATTAATATTCTCTACCCAGTTACTATATCATATCAATACTATAATGCGTGCTTCGGAAAGTCCTAGAGGAAGCTGATTTGCAATTTCGACTACATCTTGAGCAAACAAAACCACCTACCCGGCTTACACCACTTTTAGCTGAACTAATCTTTCATATACATATTTTCCAAATGTACTATTCAAGATTTTTTTCAAGATTCAAGATTTTTTATTCCAACATATTTTTTACAAAACAATGTTACAAACACAAAATATTACAATGTATTTCTAAATTAACATTAAAAATTAAATTTTAGAACTAGAACTAAATTAAATCATTTACAATAACTATTACAATAACAGGCTCGAGACATTATACTGTATTTATTTTTATAATGTAGAAGTACACCGATTATAGGAAACGATGATGTCTGACATTTCAATGTCTCTAGAAAAGACATTTAGTTTTTCATTAGGCCTAATGTAATGGACAACTCTTTGTTTTTTAAGGAATATCTAAAAATGTTTATATTTATACCCATTGATTATGTAACCTGAACAGGTGATTTAAGCAGTTTTAAAATAATGATTGTTCTGTGGCACTTTTGGTTGTTTCAAACAGTTTTGCTTATCAAAAAACCTCAAGTAATTAATATATATATCAAATTATACAGTCACTAAAAATCATGAAATAATTTATTTTTGTAAAAAAATACAACCGACTTCAAACGCTCTAAAAAGAATGAAATAATTTCAATAAAGTAAACTTTTGTATTAGTCAAGCTGACGTATTTCAAGGCGGCTCTAACTGCAAATACGATTAAAATAAAATATTGTGTGTGTATTTTGAAAATCAATAAATTGTAGCTGGTTAACATAAATATATAAAAAACATACTGAACTGTTTTGTTTATATATCAAAGGAAGTATTTTCTTGTATCTTATGTTTACTTCAGAATGAATGCATTATGAAAATATCACACACAAATGTTTTATATGAATAGGAAAATAATTTATTTTGATATTATGATAGGGAAAAGAAGCTATTTTAATATTAAAACGTTACTTTTCCAAGTTAGAAACATTTAAATGCATTATAATCTTTTTAAAGATACTCGTTAATACCACTATAATGCCGATCTTTGGTTACGGTAATAAAATAATACCCAACGCACAACTATGAAAAAGACATGCAGATTAACACCTTTAGTTATAGATAGTCACTTGCATTATGTACATCCTCTTTCAATTTTGTATCAAAAATCATCATAGAGCCGCGCCGACTTAAAATAAGTGTGCTTGACTAATACAAAAGTTTACTTTATTGAAATTATTTCATTCTTTTTAGAGCGTTTGAAGTCGGTTTTACAGAAATAAATTATTCTGTGATCTTTTTTAACTTGGTGTTGTTTGATGCAAAATGTTTAATGCTAATAAAAGTATTTTGAAATTTGTTCATTAAATCAGCCATTTTTAATAATTGTTTTTATAAAGTTAAAAAAATCAAAATTGCCGCCTTTTAAAACTGTCTAATTGGACCAAGTTTTTTCCTAACATAGGTCTCTTCTCCATTAAAATATAGACTAAGCTATATAAAGATTTACCAAAAAAATCCAAAGATAAAAAGTGTAGGCTATGTATAAAATATAAGATCACAGTTATCTGGTTAACGAAGTGTTTTTGAAAAATAATTTCATTCATGAGTCAATCTTTATTTTTACCCATAGAACCATTTCCCGGAGTTTGGCTTTTTACTGAATGAGGGTTTAGGGTGAGGCAGATTGGACTAAGCAGTTTCACTTGCTTAGTACTACAGCTGTGAAGGAGGTAGGCGGATACTGTTGGTCTTCTTCTTATCATCTACTCAAACTGTCTCAGTCACTATCATGGTTTTGACTGGACAACATTAGGGTTATGTAGTGTGTGTTTGTATCAAAAAGATAAATAAAAAATAAAAGTTACCTAATTGGGACACAAACAGCTTTTTGACAAAATTTTCTACATCGCACAACTTAAACACAATCCACTTGTAGGTTAAAAAGCTGGAAGTAAGTGGTAACACTCGTTAAGCAGATATGAAAAAACCGACAGCAAAAAGCTTTTTGTGTCACAATCACTAACCTGTAAGTTTTTTTTAAAATACATACATCTCAACGGTATGAGTAGCCAATGAGAAAAAAAACAGCATTGTTCACCTACCCTCCTCACAGCCGGAGTACTATATGTTAGTGAAACTGATCCGTTCTCCCACACCCTGCATCAATATAAAATTTTGTTAATCTTTAAATTTAAAGGAAAGAAATATGACTTAATTATTATTTTTCACACACTAATAAATTTATCACATTCAAATTCCTCAACTTGAAAAAAACATAAAAGCTGTGCACTCTTAAAAATGTAATGCCATGTTCCAAAGCTCTGCCTAAAAGAATGGTTTTAAATCTATTTAGGAATTAACTTTGTTAACAGCAAAAACATGTCCCAACGCAATAAGGTGTAACCGGAGCTACATTTTCCAGTTGTCAGATACATCAGGCAAGTCGTAAACAGAAAAATACTCCCCACTGCAGTTGGCACTTCCTTGCTTTGAAACTCCCCATAGAATATTCGTTCCTTATAATAGATTGAATTCCTTCAAATTCTCTACTACTCACCTTGTATCATGTTTTTGTATTTGATCACTTAGCTTATATTTAGTGTAACTTTCCAAGACAACGTAGTTGGAAGTATTTTGTAAATTAAAGTTGCAGAGAATAATTATTAATACCAAAAGAATGTTCCACACCTCATAGCAAATGTTGTAAACAAAATTCATGTTCTGGTTCCAAAGTAGCCGGGGTGTACTTCCTAAGAGCACTCCAGAACTGTTGATCGGGTGAATAAATATTGACTCTTTTAATATTTTCTCATTTAAGGTAGGTATTTTATATGAATGCTTCCAAATTTTGAAGTATCTTATTAAAATTTAGAAACAAAGTTTCTACTATTTGACAAATAATTAGATGGTTCTTATTGTCTGTTACAAACAGACAATTAAATCTGCCTTTGGCTCAAAATCTCATTATTGAAAATGTAATTTGAACTAAAATGTTTCTTTTGTTACTATTAAATACAATTATTAACAAGAACTGTATAAAACTCAATTTAATCATTTCATAATGTTAGCATTGAACTAAACAAACACATTGAATTAAACAAACATAATAATACTTAATTCTGAACATCTGTGTATCTTAATAACATATGTAACAGTGGTCCCCCCCTTAAAGTTTTGTGCGTAGCATCTGGTCCACGTGTCGTCTCCAAGTTTGACCATCATCCATTTTAACGTAATAATGAAGATTACCATCTTTAATTTCAACTGTTCCCAAGGCATTATTTATTTGTTCCCTTTCTGTAAAAGTTTATGTAATGGTTTCAGTAGAGTTGCTAGGTCTTTTATGAATCGGTTATAATAGTTTACCAAACCTAAAAATGTCCGGAAAAAGTTCGCTTACATTCTCAGGTTTTCTTGCCTTTGCTATGGCAGCCACTTTGTCCATACATTTATGTATACCCTTTTCATCAATGACGTGGCCCAAATAATGTATTCTTCTCTGGAGAAACTTGCATTTGTCACGATTGAGTCTTAAACCTTTTTCTCTTAGTTTTCCTAAGACACTTTCCAAACGTAGAAGTAGTTCCTCTTCTGAATTTCCCTGAATGACTATATCGTCAAAGAAGCACTGTATTCCCTCTAGGCCTGCCAATGTCTTGTCCATTGTTTTCTGCCAAATGCCAGGAGCAACTTTAATACCAAACATTAATCTATGTACCCTGTACTGTCCCTTATGCGTGCTTAAGGTTTGAATATTTGCACTATCACTGTCCATTTCCAAATGAAGGTAAGCGTTTCTTAAATCTAGTGTACAAAATAATTTTCCACCATTCATGTTGACAAATATGTCTTCAATTTTGGGAATAGGGTGATGTTCATCTTGGATCTGCTTGTTTACTGTCACTTTGTAGTCCGCGCATATTCTCACATCGCCGTTAGGCTTGACTACTGGAACGATTGGTGTTCCCCACTCAGATTCTTGAGTTTTCGAAATTATTCCTGCCTCTTCCAAGCGGTCAAGTTCTTGTTCGACTTTCAGTTTTAATGCGTACGGCACAGCCTTCATAAATACTGGACGAGCCCCATCGACAAGTTGTAAGTGTCCAAGTTGATCTGGAATCTTACCGATACCTGGCTCAAACACATCCTTGAACTTCTCTAAAAGGTTGTCGAGACCACCTACTTTTGGGTATTGTTGTACTGCCTTTAGTTCAGCCCAGTCTAACTGTACTTCTCGCAACCAATCGCGACCAAATATTGCGTCAAGGTTGTCATCCACGATGTAAAGTTTGCCTGTAAATTCCTGATCTTTATATGTGCAATGCACAAAAACAACTCCTTTTGGTTTGAAAACTTCTCGAGTGTATGTTCGTAGCTGCACTTGTGTATGAAAAATTTTCCTATTAATCTCAAGTTTCTTGAATGTAGAGTAAGGCAGAGTACTTATAGCAGAACCTGTATCCAGTTCCATTTGAACTGGTTTACCTTCAACTGATAAATCAAGCATAATTTTATCTCCATTTCTTCTATCTATTTTGAAAATCTCGTGTTGTTCATCTTGACAGTCTTCTTCTTCGGCTTGGTGAATTTTTGTTCTTGTAGATCCTAAACATACTCTGGCTAAGTGTCCCTGTTTCTTGCATTTGTTACATATCTTTGAAGCAAACTCACAGTTATTTGCCCTATGGTTTTGAGAACCACATCTGTAACATTTTCCTTTAAGGCTATCAAAAAGAGGTGAAGGCCTTTTCTGGTTTGACGTCATGTGCGATTTAGTTGATACATTTTTGTATTTATCCTCAATCTGATGTACTGTACTAGGCCTATTAGTTTTAGTTGCATAGTATTCAGATAGATCACTCTCGTGGTTTGCAATTTCCATCGCTGTCGCTGCTTTGACGACATCTTGAAACGATACAAATGAATCATCCTGAAGCAATTTGGCTCTAATATCTTTATTAACTAACCCCCTTATGAACTGCATTCGCAAAAGAGTATTAGCAATTGATTTCTGGCAAGACTCACAGTTAAACTCACAATTAGATGTAAGTTTTTGCAATTCCACTGAATAAATCTTAACTGTTTCATTGGGCTCCTGTACTCTAGACAAGAATTTGTGCTGTAAAGCCCAAGTACTTGGCTGTGGATCAACATAATCTGTCAACATTCTCACCAATTCTGTATATGATTTATCCAGAGGTACTTCTGGAGCACATAAATCATAAACCTTCTGATGTAGGCTAGGGGTTAAAGAATGAAGTAATGTACCTTATCTGTAGGATGCATTCCTTGTCCATGTAAGTGAATGAAGACTTCTAGGCGTCTTATGAAATTCTTGAATGTCTCGTCATCTTGGAAGGGGGTGAAAGAAATTGTTGATGTAAGCGGTCGCAATTTCTGAGTATCAACACTGTATGGTCTGATCTGCTGTAGTTCTTCTGTTTCGTTGACTCTTTCCAATTCACTTAATCGGAGTTGTAATACATCAACTATTTTGAAATACATATCCTCCATGTCGGTCCTGTATGTGATTTCAGTGTCAAGTTGTTCTTCATCTGTTTTTACTTCAATGTTGTGCTGGATAAGCTCGAACCGTTCCCAATATGCATGTATCACTGAGAGTCTTGTTCTGATACTATCAACTTTAATACCAGACAATTCTTCTAGCATTCTCTCAGCTCTAGTCAACTGACCTTTAACAACAGCTCTTGCTTTCTTCAGTTCACTCAATGTTTCATTGCCTTGTAAGGAGGCCATAATCAATTATTTGTACTGGTAAATGTAATAAGTGTAAAATAGAAACGTAGAAATAATTAATTGTCCTCGTCGCCAATTATTAAATACAATTATTAACAAGAACTGTATAAAACTCAATTTAATCATTTCATAATGTTAGCATTGAACTAAACAAAAACATTGAATTAAACAAACATAATAATACTTAATTCTGAACATCTGTGTATCTTAATAACATATGTAACAGTTACAAATCACAAATTTGTATTTTCTGCTTTTGTAGATAGGCACTTACAAACAAGCTCTAGCATTTGACATACTGTATTGTGAGGTCTTATTGCCAATTAACACTAAATGCAGCTGTGTGGGACTGAATTGTGATTGCCACACTATTAATATGCTGATATGTTCAATCTATTATGTATTTAGTAGCTACACAGCTACATCCAATAAGTTGTACGTCTCCTTATCTTCATCAGCAATTATTTGTTTATATCACATTTGAATTAGATCGACGACTCATTAATTTGATGTATGTATTTTCTTGATGAAAATCTGTTGTTCCAAATGGAAAATGCATTTCCGATTTGGTTCATGTTTATGATATGAAAATAATTGTATAAATAATACAATTATTTATACAACGATGGGCCCTGATTTTGTCTGCCTACAATTTTGAGGTAAAATATCGGAAGGGTTCCACTTTGCCCCACGCTGATGCGCTGTCACGCTTATCACTACCCGAGGATGAAACTTTGGAGTTGGATGAAAATTATATATCTCATGTGGAATCTTGTGTAACAGAAATGAATTTCTTCAGTTCGGGGAGTGATGATTCTCCAATCACTTCTTTAGAGATAGGACATTTGACTGATTAAGACCCACTGTTGTCTAAAGTTTGGGATTTTGTGTTGTATGGGTGGTGTGAAATTGTAGACCCAATGTTAATTCCATTTCAGAGAAGGAAAGATGAATTGTCAGTGGATAAAAACTGCATTTTATGGGGCATTAGAGTAGTCATACTGTAGCTGGGGGGCCGTTCGGTGAGGGTTAGATGATGGGGTAATGGGTGGTTAATGGTATGGAGGAGGGAATTCGGGTAATCAGGAGGGAATAAACAGGGTAAGGCTAATAGGTTAGGAATAGGTGTGTCTGGACCAAACTTAATTTAAGCCTGCTGAATCTGCTACCAATAAAATTAGGAAGATTGCTGGGGACCAGAGGGACGGAGACCTTTTACCCAGATCAGAACACCTGCCTAGCCAGCTTTGATTTGAACTATGGAACTAACTATTTACATATTAATCTATCCTTCCCACTAAGAACTGAACTTGGATAACTGGAAATAATTGCTAAGTTACATTCTGGGAACATGTGGTTTAATATTTCATGTTCGATAAGGATGGGTGCTGAAGGCAGCCATCTCAGCTAAGAGTTAATTGACCTCATTTCAATAGTCGGGTGAGCCAGAAGGGCTCCCCGCTTGTTTCCTGAACTAGCCAGACATTATTGCTATTAATTTTAGTCCTAAGCTAAGGTAAAAAACTTATCCGTAACATGAGAGTCCGGTTCGGCGAATTTTTGGCTTCCTTTTCGTCTGACGGTTGGTTGAGCAAGAAGGAGGAGAGGACAAGAGTCTAGGAGGGTGGGGATAGCGCGTTTATGCAGTCGCGGCAGGCAACGAGATAGTCATGCAGCCCGGCTTCGCGAACGGCACACACTATGTAAAATATAGCGTGTCGCTATGCGTCACAATACCTAAGAAATTGCAAGGTAAAGTCATCCAGATGATGCATGAACAACATCCTGGAATTACTCGAATGAAATTGTTGGCACGCAGTCACGTGTGGTAGCCTGGGATCGAAAAAGTAATTGAGGATGCTGTGTCATCTTGTTTGATTTGTCAAAGTAACAAGAAATGCTGCTTCAAAAGTTCCATTGCGCAGCAATGGCCGTTAACTTCCGAGAGATGGCGCCGAATTCATATCGATTTTGCTGAAGATCCAACCACTAGACAGGAAATGTTGATTGTAGTGGATAGTTTTTCAAAGTGGATGGAAGTATTTTTAATGAGTTCTATACCCATATATAGTTTGACAGGGAAGACCATTGAGAAACTTCGTACACTATTTTCTGCTTATGGTTTACCTGAGGAGTTGGTGTGTGACAACGGCTTTATACAATAGGTCTTTTACCAGCCTAGAATTCAGGGAGTTTCTTAGGAAAAATGGTGTGAAACTAACATTTTCTCCACCATATCACCCTGCTTCCAATGGAGCAGCCGAGCGTTCTCTTCAAGAAGTTAAGAAAAGTTTGTTAAAGCAAGTTTTGGGTGAAAAATCATCTCAGCAAACATCACTGCAGTATAAATTGGATAACTTTCTTTTCGCATATCGTAATACTCCATCGTCAGTAACCGGTGTGAGCCCAGGTGAGCTGTTCTTACGTTGGAAACCTCAAACAAAATTGACTATCTTAAAACCTAATCAACTATAAGAGTCAAGGAAGAAGCAGGAAATGCAGAAACGAGCCTCAGATAGACATAGAATTGCGTGTAGATTTTTTAATGAAAATCAGAAGGTGTTGGTTAAAACAGTCAGACAGGAGAAAGGGTTCCAGGTCGTATATTACAGTGTAAAATTCCAGTTACTTATTTGGTTAGTGTTCTTGGCAAAACAAGAGTCTGCCATGCAGACCATCTTAGGCCAACTGAGGTAGAGGAGGATGAAATCATCGTGCGGAAAGAGGAAGTTGGAAGGACTATTGAGGCACATCAACAAGAATTCAATAGAGATTTGCCTATTCTTCAGGAGTCTACATCACCATCAATATCAAGAAATGATGCTCCACCTTATTTGCCTAGATTGAAGCCTAATGTTGGGAAACCACGGGGTGTGCAATACAGTCCATTTACAGTTTTGAGGAGATCATAAAGGACTGCGCACAAGCCGGAGAAATTGGATCTATAAAGTTGGAAAAGCCAAAGAGTCAGAAGAATTTTTAAAGTATTATGAGTCAAGCAAATTTAAGTGTTGGCGAGTGTAATATATGTTTATATTATTTGTACAAGAAGCAACAATTGATTTGATAATGTTGGTTGCATTCCAGATGTTAAAGACTTTTGTTTTGTTCTGATTGTTAAGTTTGTAAATAACAATAATAATTGAGTTGATGGGGAATAAATGGAATACACTAGATTTTATCTTGTTCTTTTAAAATATTACACCCATAAACATTTCATTTATTTAAAATTTGAAAAACTTTTGTAGTTCTTAAGCCAAGTGTGCTTAAAAAGTAATTTTATATTTTTTAAATGAATGATATAAGTTTGCATATACACAGCGGCATAGTAAATTTTACAGTATGAAGTTTTACAATTTTTTAGCTATTCCCATGTATTTTTGTAGTATGTACACCACAGGCATTTTATTAAGAAGTATTAAAAACTCTAAGGAAACCGCAATTTGTTAACAAAGTTGTAGGACGGGTTTTAACTTGTGTTGTTGGTGCAGATGACAAGGCCACCATGATGGAGGTGGACCACGAGACCAGACAAGTGTTTGTGGAGCAGATGAGTGTTGTGTCTCCTGAGGAGTTGCGAGTCATCCACCCATCTCATGAGACTATAGGAGCCAGACTCACTGCTCCCATCGTCACCACTTACATAGACACTGACAAGATCAGCTTTGAAAGGTATACAATACGATACACTTCTTGTCAATGTTCAATGCACACTCAACTGTAGTACAGTAGTTTCTGTTTTGTGTATCTTGTACTATGTTTGCAGTCAAGTTTTAAAATTCACTTTGCTATACAATACCTGAAACTATAAAATGCATTAATTTTATGGCTCTGTAGACAAATATCATAACCAACCAAAATTCATTCCCACAAATATTTGCAAAAAAGATGAAGCACTGCACTGGCAAGCGTCCTTGGTTGATAGATGAATTGGCAAGTCTGCAACCAAATTTGTTAAAATCCTAATTTTTGAGTAGTTGTTTACTAGAGTGGCCTTTGGTCGAAACCTCTACCAAAAGTATGTATTGTGCAAACTTCTCTATTTTCACCCCACACTGTAAATAAAACATGTTTGGAATTTGTTTGGATTTTCTGTTTATATTTTGTTGTTATTTTGTCACCAGCATAGCAACCCTTAAGACCCATGCTAATTTTTTTAATTTCAATTTTTTTGTGCTTATTTTTTAGCCTATTTTAATTTTTAAAGAAATTCTGTACATCTACAGGAAATATCTCATTTGGTACCAACGGTGTGTAATTCGGTCCAGTAGTATGGCCAGGCTAGCTGTCGTAAGTTTTACAAAAAACTTTTAGTATACTGTATAAGATTGAGTTAACCAGGAAGTTGAGTTGGAGGCAGCTGATTCCTAGACATAGGTTATGAAAAAGCTGGTTTAATGTTGACTAAATAAAAATGTAGCCTAAGATTTTATTGTAAAATGTTTGTTATAAGGAAGAATCCATCTCTTGGTGTTGATATTTCATTTAAAAGCAAAAACTTTCTTGATAGCCCTTCCACAATACAACTTATAATATATAGTAAATCATTTTTGAGTGTTAATATATAAATTATTAATTATTATACATTTTATTGTTTCAGAAACAAAAGTGGAATGTGGGGATGGAGACAAGACAAGAGTGAAGTTGTTAGTGGACGTCCGTGTAAGGTAATTTGTGTCTGAGTAGATCTGATAGAATTTGTACACTGATCAGATATCAGAGGCATTGTGACATACAAGTCAGTAAAGTTGTCGCTAAGTAATAGTACACTAGGTGTACAATGCAGTTGTCTGCTTGCAATATTGAGCGGAGCCAGCATATTAATTTAATGTCAATGATATAGTTGGTTCGCATTTGTAATAGAATGCCTATTTGCAGTAGGTATCCAAAGTCAATCATAAGTTAGGATTAAATGAATGAATTGTCTACTTGCAGGAACCATATTCTATGTTTCATCTGGTTCTCATAAATTAAATGTCTTCTTGCAGTATCCAATGCCAATGATATATTTGGTTCGCATAAATGGAATGCCTATTTACAGATTCTAAAGTCAATGGTACGTCTGGTTCATGTAGACGGATTGTTTACTTTAGTATCCAAACTCAATGGTACATGTAAATGAATAGTCTACTTGCAGTGTATCGTAAACGGTCCATTTATTTTGTGTTTGATTATTTTGGTGTATTTTGTATTGCAGAAACCGAAGTCATTGGTAGGCTTAGGCCTACTTCTGCTTCACTTATATGGAATGTCTATGTGCAGTAGGCCTATTCAAAGTCAACGATACGTCGGGTTCACGTCAACGAATTGTTTAATTACAGCATCGAAACTATGAGTGTTATATTTTTGGTTCACATTAATAAAATTCCTATTTGTATACTGTAAATAGGAATTGCAGTACATATTCAAAGTCTACATTAATGGCACGTCTTGCTCACATAAAATACTGTAAAACTTATTTACAGTATCCAAACGCAATATGGTGCATCAGCCTAATTCCGGCAATCCTTTCTATTGGTTATTCATTTTGTCGTAAATTATGCTCAATGCTATTAATCTGATTGTTCTTCCCTTTTCCTCTGTACGGTTTGTAGTCAGCTATTTCAGACGATTCGTTGACTAAAATAAGTTTCTACTCTTATTTACCTTTTTATTGTTATCTCGAAAATAATGCCATGCCAAGGCCCATGTTAAATTTCTAAGTTTTAAATTTTTGTAGGGAAAAATCCTGTGGTCCGGTTATTACCATTTCAAATTTATACCTTCCCATATGGTTGGTTACTATGACTGTGCTAAATTTCGTGCAGCAAAGACAGATTATATGTACATGGGATTGTCTTCGTTCATTCTCATACGCGACTTCGGAGCGTACTCCTAGTTTCTATACTGCAAATGAATCATGGTAGGCCTATGCGAGTAAAAGTAAAAATAAAATCCTTTTACTCGATACATCTTGCGTTCAACCGACCATCGACACCCTCCTCCTCTACCCCGTCACCCACACCCACACTACGCTTGATCTGTCGTCTGGTGTTAATTATTGTGCTAGTGTGTTTTTATGATTTTCGTATTCCGTGGTGTCTCATGAGTGTTATTTTATGTTGAAACAATGTAAACTGATCGGGTGTTGCGCCCCGAAAAGAAAAATTTGATGGCGTTGGTTGGTGTGGCAATGGAACAACGAAGTTAAGTGATTTTATTACTCGCCATTCAAATACAATTTTTTAAATAGGCCAAGTCTCGTTAACATATTAATCAAAATATTCAGTGTTAAAGGATAGAGAAACATAACGTCAAATGTTATCATATAACAAAAAGCCTAGCCTAAGTACTTAAAAAATAAATGTAATAAAAAATAGTCCACATGCAATTAAAGCAAAAAGTTTAATTTCATAAGTACAAAATTGCATAAAATTGTATTAAGTATTAACACCAGATTTCACTTCCTAAACGCATAAAAATTGTGTTTAGAGAAGATATTTTTGTCAAATTTTCCGGGGGGGACCCCCGGACCACCCTTACTTGCTGGGGGGAATTCCCCAGACCCCCCGGGGGGCGGCGATCACCGATCTCGCCCAGGGCGGCAAAGTCCCTAGGGCCGTGCCTGGTTATATCCAAAGCAAATAAGTGGACATACAGTAAATGTTTCCCTAAAATAATTAATATTTACCTTGTCCTCTATTTTCTTAAAGGTTTTGTTGCTCATCGGGGGAATGTCCATTGTGAAAAAACTTCCTCTAATTGAGCTTGGCCTCCACCTGTTGCCATAGTTCCACTAACAGCACTTGTATTTACATCCATCAAATCATTTTTCTTTGTTTCTGACCAAATAACCTTTGTTATGTTGCACATGGAACATTTAAATACAAAACCACTATTCAGTCCAACTCTCTTTTCCCGCAAAAATGTCAAATCTTTGAAATTACAACATGTGGGACTATGATTATCTAATTCTTTCACTTGATCGAAAATATCTTTAATTGTCACTATTCTACGACCACACAGCTTTGAGACGTGAGTAGTTTCTGTTGTGTCTTTCTCCCCATCGTGACTTGATTCTTTCCTGAAAAGACAAGAGATATGATGGTACAATGCTAATGATTCAAACTGACGAAAAATATATGTTTCTTTAAGTTTAGACAGATAATACACTACTACAAATTATTGTAGGCCTACTTTAAAAGTGCCTCTTTTAAAAGTCTCTCTAAAAGTCACAGTTTAGTTAATTGAATTGCACGTAGTTATTTTTTGAATTACTAATACCACAATAAGTCTCCTATATAGTATCCAGGCCTATTCTAAAATCAAGACTAAATATTATGCATACTTACTTCTTATCATCAAAGTACTTTTTTAAATAGGAAGGCAGCTTCCGCTTTTTTGTCCTCGACAGGAACTTCTTCAGATGACCCATCACGGTTTGATAGAAACAACTCAATAATATTGACACTGCCAAAATTGTTGATCTTCCGATGTAGACTTTGCGCGCCTTTTCTTTCACATCGACGCTAGTGCTATCTGTGGGGAGAACACTGAACTGTTACGCCGCCCCGCGCTGCACATGAGAGGGTCGCAGTTGTAGAGTTATTTTAAAACAACGAAAAACATTGAAACCAATTTACTTTTCAAGAAAAATAAAAAGTAGTTTTAAGACTGAATATATAAGGTTACTTGTAAGCCAAATTTCACAATTTTACACTAACGTCTACCTACTGTATAACTGAACTAGTTCTATCAAATCCTTATGGAAAACAATATTTTTTATTTCAACAAAAACAAATTAAAATTTTTTTTAAAGAATGTTTTTGCATGCTACACGTAGGTTAAGTTATGTTTTTTGATACTACTTTTTGATCCATGCCAAATACGCAATCGTTTAATTGCAGTTAAGTGAAAAGTAAATTAGTCCCATGTTAATAACAGGCCCTGCCAGTAGCACGGTGGTTGACTCCTGCCGCCTCTTAAGGTTAATACAAGCCATATTATTAGGTCTATTATCTTAATATTTTGTTGTATTGTTTAAAACCAAACTGATTAGTGTTATGCAATCCTAGTGTATACTGTCTTTCCAAAACCAACTTTATCCATAGGCGTCAGAGCAAAACTAACTTTATCCATTTGTGTCAGGGCAAAACTTACTTTACCCAAACTTAAAACTTATTTTTCTCAAAAACTACACATATTAGGGCGAAAAGGCATGCAATAATGCACAAAGACACATATCTTTCACTTCGGATGAAACAAAACATAATAATTCACTGTCAGGATAATTAATTAAAAGTTTTTTTTTCATTTCCTGAAAGTTTTATTGATAAGGATAATGTGAGTTTTGGAATGGACCGCCACACTTACTACTGTCGCCACTGGCATAATGAGAATCGTTTAACTGTTATGTTTTACTCTACAATCTGAAAAAAAGGTTTGTTTTGGGCAGACAAAATTCACTAACTTTACCAGATTTCCCGACAGAAAACCCTGGTTTTCAAGGTTTTGATTCCTAGTCCCCAAGTGTACATTATACTAGGGGTCTGCAGGTATGGGAACTCCATATTTTAAAGTCTGGTCGGACCAACGTTTGGTACAAAAGATCCGTACGCGCAGAAAATGACCTTATTTAAGCTTTGGATTGAGTTGAGCCGAAGCGAGCGCAAATTTTGGCAACCGCAGAGAGTGTTTACAAAGATGCGCGATCGAAAATTGATGATTTTACCGTGATCGTGGGAGACGATGATGTCAAGTGACTGCGGAAGATGTCAAATTTGTTTATCCTCGGACGATAATCAAGATTTTGTTGTGACCACTGAAGATGTTCTCAATTACGCCATGACTACTGAAGATGTTCTCAATTTCACCATGACTACTGAAGAATGTTCTCAATTTTGACATGACCAACTAAGATGTTTACGATTTCGCCGTGATCGCAGACGATGTACTAGATTTTACACTGATCGTGGAAGACGTTCATGAGTTCACCGCGACTACTGAATATATTATTAAGTTTGCCGTGACCGCAGTAGATGTTCTTGATTTTACCGTGACCGCGGAAGATTTACAGTTTCGCCGAGATCGTGTATTATGTTCATGGTTTTGCTGTGACCGTGGAATATTCTTGATCTTGCATTTGCCATGACTACTGAAGGTGTTCTCAATTTTGCCGTAACCGCAAAAGACATTCGTGATTTCGCCGTGACAACTAAAGATATGTTATCTATTTTTCCGTGACTGCAGTTAGGTCAGTGGAAGTGTTTGAAACCAGCAAGCAAATTTAATGTTTTTTTCTTCCTAAATCTGAAATTTCATTGTTTTTTGTTATTTTTATTTTACATGGTCATTATTTTGTTGTTCATAACTTCTTATTATATTATTATCAAGCAAATTCAATGTATTTATTCGCTGGATTGAAGTGTCACTAACAAGACTACAAGATCGCGCCACTCATCCTACACTCATCCTTCACTCATATTTGGGTTAAAATACGCACATAGTGGCGTCCCCATCTTAACTAATTGATAATTGATAATTGATTGATTGTCTGATGATGGCATCCCGCCGAAACATGTAATACTATTGTTACTTTTGGAACTACTTGACAGGTAATAAAAACCTATTTATACAGTAGTAGTTTAGATTGCGTATAGATAGTGTTAACGACAGTAGTAGAAAATTTAAGGTACGAGCCTCGGCGAGTGCCTTAAAAACTTCTAGAAGTGTCGTTAACACTATTTACGTGAGTTGCGTACACTTCTTTACCTACGACAGTGTTTTAATTACTAAAAATTACTACTCATAACTTCTAAGAGAGGTCATGTTATCGTTTATAACCTCTCATTGCCACTGACAGTGATGCAACGAAACATTGTACCAAACATTGCACCACTCAACGATTAAATAAATTGGCCTGAACAGCTGATTAGTTGAAGTTCAAATCATTACAATTTTACTTCTTCTCTCTCAATCCTTGAACCTCATTGGCCGGTTACCAGTGTTGTTATGAGTAAAACTATGCTATTATGAAAGTAAACAATGTTGTTATGTGAAACGTTTCAATTCGAAGAACTGAACTGAAACAGCTACTTTAAAAAATGGTCGTAGGTAAAAACATCATCTGAACTGGTTCCTCAGCCTCCGGGCTTGCTAATTACTCGCTATATTGAAATTCCTACCTCACTCAAATTTCAGAAAATGTTAATTTTTTTGCAAATACTAATGGGTGAAGGAAGATCAAGTACAAATTATCAGCAGCGAATCCTATAATTTAGCTGCACATTCCAGAGTCAAATAAAGCAAATCATACTAATATTAATATTATAAATGTGAACGTTTTTGTGTTTGTTTGTTTGTTTGTTTGAAGTTCAATCACGCAATAACCACTGGACAGATTGGGCTGAAATTTGCCATGATGATACCTCACATTTCCGATTAACATATAGACATATTTTTATCTCAAAAATCCTCTCGGGCTCCGCCCCAGTGGCTCTGTTGTTCCCCATGTTAACCTTATGAGTATTCATATTTAAAAGGAATTAAAGAATTTAGTCAGCTGTTTCAACTATTTATGTTGGTTCTATGATATGCAATCACATTAAAAAGTTATAAGGTTTACCAGCAGGGTGCAGCAATAATATTCTTTTTGCATTTATGACAACAGCTAATTTGAACTAAGCAGCAACAAAAAGCTCTGATACTCAATATTAAGTGTAAAAGTAGGATTTTTTACAGTTATGTCTATGTTTTTAATTTAAAGAATAATTTATTTGTGATTTTGTGCGAATATTTGATAATTTTTTTTTCTATGATTTAGATGCAGTGATAGAACATTATGGCTATGGTAGATGTGTTATACTATAGCATACCGTAAATTTAAAGAAACAAATTTAATTTTACCAAATTGTGTTCTTCCCCATTACAAAAGCAAAGCTTGAGTATAACTGCAATAATCACTTTATACTTATTTGCCAACCCCGTACAAAGGACCCCCCTGTAAATATAAAAAAGTTAGTAGGGAGTAGGATGGGGAGTGTTAAGGTTGAAATTACAAAGTTTAAATAATAAAAGCATGCAGCCTGTTAGGAAAGTTTTGTCAACAACAACTCATTAAAATGACAATACTGGTCTATCAGTGCATCAGTCTATGTGCATTCACAGAGAAAATTACATTTTTAACCCGAATTCACTTTATCTTATGTGTAACTCTATTATTGACATTGGATTGTCAAATTTCAATGTAGAATTTTTTCCTTAAAAATAGTTACTTGTGTTGTTGCAGGTGTTTGGTGCCAGCAACGTAGAGCTAGTGACCAAGACACGAGTGGAACATCTGACAGAACAGGACAAGGCGAGATGTAGAGGTGCCAAGACTCCTCTGCAGTCCTTCCTGGGTATAGCAGAGACTGAGGAGCGAGCCCCCACACCACATGTGAGTTTTTTACACTTTTCTCAATTTTTGTTACATTGAAATCTATACTATAATACGAGTAAAAACGGCTTCTGTGATTTCCTCTCAATTGTTAGGATATGAATATCTTAGTTTCAGGCTAAAAACAATATACATGCTATCCACAGCTCTGGGAAATTAGTTTTTCGTTAAAAACTCAAAACAAAATTATTATATTTTTAACATTAGTCTTATGGAAATCTAGGTAGCCAAGCCAGCTTTTCGAAAATGTAAATAAATGAATTGTGACTTTTGCTTATAACAAATTATCTACAGTAAATTACTAAATATAGTACAAAAGAAAAGGACGTACCCATAAATACAATTTAGCATTGGTTATTTAATACATTTGAGATGTTTTATGATTTGTGCAATGGGATAGTTAATTATGACTGTTAAAAATCATATGGACCATAACAAACAAATGACCCAAAAATAAACATTTTTGTATTATTATTTCAATGCAACTGTCAATAAACTTCCAAAACACATGTAGGCCTAGAGATTATTAGTATTAGATTCCATCCAGTGATATCATTCTTTTTTGTTTTTGATCCTGTAGTGTATTCATTTAAATATCAAATGAATTGTATATTTCTATATTTGTAATTCAGATAGTTACAGGTATTAAATTTGCTAGCTCGATCAATGTACCGTTAGATATCGTACGATGTGACGTCATATAGCCTGATCGAATAAACTAACCCCATTGGTTGTTCCATCACACCAATTTCCATTCCCACTGCTACCACGATCACTCGACACTCTCTGTACCTTCAGTCATCGTCCTACCTCACCGGCTCCCGCACACCAATGCGGTTTTTCTTAAAGTAAAAATGTGTTTATCATCTCGAGCACCTGAATCTTTGTTCACATCTAGGTTCGGATGCGACAATGGTGCGAGTGTGATAACTTACCGCGTGGATAAAGGAAGCGTGTTTTATAGTGCAGTGCCAATGTTTTGGTACCTTACATGCCACTAGACGGCAATTTTTACACTCCGTTTGGTGAATTAATGCTGATAGAAGAATAAGCTACTACAATGAGTGTCATCAGAAATTTCGAGCCGTTCGACAGTTCGGAGGAGACGTGGTCTACATACGTGGAACGTTTTGAACTTAACTTTCTATTAAAGTGTAATGGAATTTCGGACGACAAGAAAGTAAGTGCGTTTTTAACAGTGATTGGAGTTAAATCATACAATCTGCTGAAGGACTTAATTACGCCTAAAAACTATTGGAGAAGCCGTTTGAGGACATTGTGAAAGTGTTACAGGATCATCTTAATCCTAAACCCTCGTTTATCAAGGAGAGGTATAAATTCAGCAAGCGTGACCGACTGGAACACGAGACTATTTCGGAATACATCGTTCATTTAAACCAATTATCAAAGCATCGCCAGTTCGAGGACAAGTTACCGGACTATCTCAGGGACTGATTAGTGAGAGTATTCGGAATAATTCGATAAAGGAGAGACTACTGGCGGAGGACAACCAGATGTTTACCAAGGCGGAGCAGCTGGCAACATCGTTAGAGACCGCAGAGAAGGACGCATCCTCCCTGACGTACCACGTCAGCGGCAGCACGGCAACAGCGATGAGGCTTCAGCGATTCTCCTCAGCTCACCGACCTTAACGCAGCAAACAATCAAGTGCATCATGTGCAGTTCCTAGTGTTGTGCAATCTACAGAGTGCTATTGTTGTGGTAAAAAGGGCCATTCAACACACCAGTGCTATGTTCGCGAATACGTGTGCAAGTTTTGTAGAAAAAAGGTCATTTGGAGAAGGCGTATAAATCCAAAAAAATGGGTAAATCCAGTCATTCTACCTCTAAAAATAGTTCAAATGCCAAGGTTAATTACATCAAAAATACCCCTGACAGTGAACTAATCATTAAAGTAAATCAGGGTATGGTCAACAAAATTGAACCTAGATTTGCAAGTACAAGGTAAACAAATGAGATTTGAAGTAGATTCAGGTGCTTGTGTTTCTGTTGTTTCGGAACAATTTTACAAGCATTTAAGTAATGCAAAACTAAACCCCACAGATCTAGTTCTGAGTTCCTACACTCATGAAAAAACCAAACCTGTAGGTAAAATCAATGTTATTGTTTAGTACAAATCAGTTGAAAATGTCTATCATTGTATGTAATAAGCAATGATGCTAATCCTCTAATTGGTCGGGATTGGATAAAAGCTCTCCAAATTGTTGTTCGTATCCCCAACGATGTAAATAGCCTAGTGTAATGTCGACTTCTGATGAAGTAAAAGTAGAATCAAGTAATGAGTCTAAAGTTGTGCGAGATTTATTAAACGAATTTCCAGAGGTATTTACCACTAAGCTAGGTAACAATGTAGTAATAAGTGGTGTTATAATGGAGATCCTGTTAAGTTAAAGCTCAAATCAAATGTAGTACTTGTCATTAGATTAATTATTGAATAATTATACTGAATTCATGAAAGGTTGTGTATTTCTATTTTAACAAAAACTCAATCAAAATATCAAACAATAACACAAAACATATGTTGAACAATTACCATATGTTATTAACATATTAACTACTACTGTCAGTACCTAAGTATTACCGTATTACAAACCAAGACCCATGCCTTATTCTTTAAAAGACAAGGTAGAACAGGAGTTACAATGTTTAGTTGACGATGGTATCATTTCCACTGTTTCAACTATACTGCGTTCAAACAGCCGTGGCACCTGACGGATTAGGAGACCCTTACTCACACACACACACAAACGCAGTTGGCCCGGCTGCCAGGTAGATGACCCACAGAGTGGGGCGTCCAGTAAGCAACTGCTGTTTTATTTAAACACAAATTTCAATAGTTATAACATGCATACTTGCAATATTCGTAAGTTGTATAACACAATGACACCAAACACAATATGATTATGACAATAATGAGACAAAACGATGTTTATCCATAGAAACTCCCATCTATGAGTTTATAAACCTATATACAATTATTTTGCACTTAAATGAAATTTACTTAACAATGTTCCTGACAAAATATGTCTACAGGTACATGTAGTAAATATATTAAAAGAAATACAGTATAAATATTTCAGCAGCTACCGTAGTAAACACGCTAATTTCTTTACGTCCATAGGATTCGGGTGAACAATTTGGCCATTTGAGTATGAAAACAACTAGTTTCTAAATACTGTAAACACAAATCTGGCTGTTCATATAAAATTCCAAATTTCCAAATAAAAATATGTTATCACAGAAGCAATAATGCTTCTTGCTTGCGTATGCAACACTTCGTTTGACTTCTTTGATGACATCGTCAGTACACTATTGTTCAGTCAAGTTGCCTTTGTTTTTTGTATTAATTTTATATGTCTTTGTTTTTAACAGTCCGTCTGTAATTCCCATCACATTACCATATGTCAATTTTCATTGTTGCATTCATTTTGTCGCGAATCATCTCTCATATCAACACGTACACATTATTTTTCTCATAAATTATACTCTTTATACCAAAACCTCGACTTTTTCCTCTTTTTAGTATAATTACACCGCACAACTATAAAACAACGAAATTAAAAAATGTATTTATTTATTATGAGAAAATGAATGTATATCCTTATATATAATTCTGTAAGACTAAATTTTTACCAGAAAATTGTAGACGTCTGGTAAGTCGCAGAAAAGTGGAAGAAGTCTTAAATTAAAGGTCTCGACCCCAGGGACTCGGGAAAAATAGCACAATTCCCATAAAGTTACTAGAAAACGAGATATAACGTAAAATTTTCTACATAAGAATAACATTAAAAGCCATTTACTGCAGATTTTTGTTTACTTCAATACAGCTGATCGTGATTTAGTACTAAGCCAGTATGCAATATTAACATTTGGATTACTTATTTACCAGTCAATTCTGCAATGTAATGTATAGTATATAAAACCAGGGATAGCGTTACCTATAATAATTAGGACTATTTAGTTACGTCTTAGAATGTTTAAATAAATTTTGTTACTGTGAAACTTATCAAATATATCTATTTTTTTTTTATTAGTAAGTAAGTAGAAGAATTATGGGAGTAGGCAAAAAAAAGAATTGAACTTATAATGGCTGAAAAATATCGAAGTCTTTGTTAGCGAATTTCCCATATAGGGAATAAGCTATTACCGTAGTACTCACGGTAAGACCTGGACCCGGGACCGATTTTTTTTTTCGTTTTGAGGTCCCTAGAGGCCAAAAACACCATCCGTTTAAATTCATATATATATATATTGTGTATATATATATATATTGTATATATATATTGTATATATATATATATATATATATATATATATACTAGCAGTTACCCGGCGCGCGTTGCTGCGCTTAACAACTATTATTGTAAATGGTAATTTGTTCTTTACGATGAATAATAAAAGTGTGTACCAAAAATAAAAATAGAATATTTTACTTAATTGCCAGTGAATAGGGCCTAAACAATTTTTTTTTTGTTTTTTCTATAAGTTTTTAGACGTACCTACCACCACGTGAGCACGCAACATACAGCTGTCCGTGTGAAAAGCATGCATTTTCAAAATTTAAACCGACGATAGTCAGGGTTTGCCCTAGTGCCTTATAATGGTGATTGGGAAAGAAAGACAAAAAAAGGAAATTGTAGATGCTTCAATTCAGAGGGTAATTTGGATGAAGTCATCAGTATTCTTGGGATTAAGACTATTTCTCCTTCTAAGTGGATTTAAGTTTCGCATTAGTATTAATGGAGTTCCTTCTTTTAATGCCAGTAATGGCATTTGAATACCTGAGATAGCACGCACGATTATTATTCACTTAATAATTTATGTTAGATTGTGTGGGTATAGAACAAAAGATAAAAATATTAAGGCATTACCATCCCTTTTATTGTTTATAATACTTTAATCAAGGTTTTTATCTTTACATATTCAACATTGGAGAATTTAAACATTGTTGAGTGCACAGGTGTGCTGCGATTGGGGTT